GCAGTGTAGTAAAAAGAACAATGTTACACTCTGAAATAATTTGGAAGTATAATTCAAGAAAAGTGTACTCAAGCACTGTAACCTCCTAAATGTTCTTAATTACTGTCAGGAAAAACATTTGAAATCTCTCACAGTAGTCCATCCCAGACTGTACACATAAACTCCAAAGTAATCAAGAGTTTATTGAGAAATAGGTGCCCTGCCAATATTGGCAGTTATGTACAAATCACTGATAAAAATAAAGATTCAAAGATCCTGAGGAAACACTAAAACAGAATTCCTATGGAATTAAATCACCTTCAGATATAAAGTAAGTGAGGTGCATGGGGATGTAAACGGAGTATGACAGCTACTAACCTTGTGCCTTCCTCTGATCTTGTGCTTCCCCAACTTCCCATCGGCGTAGGTGACCAGTTTGTCCATCTTCGACAGCAGGTAGCCGATGTTCTCGCAGCCCGGCTCGTTTCCTTCCACCCAAACGATCTGGTCTCCACGAATACTCCTAGTGTTGTCCAGGCCTCTGCTGGCCAGCTTGCCGTCCTGCATCTTCCCGGAGTGGTGCAGCTCTTGGACCTCTTGCAGAACCCGGTCTCCAATTTTGCTCCCGAGGAAGTTGTCAATGATGCACATGCCATAGGAGTTCATGCTGGGGATGATGTAGTGGAGCACCAGTCTGTGACTGCTGCGGTACCTCCGGTCTTTGGATCTGGGATGGGCGCTCCAGGGAAGAGCATAGGGTACGATCCCGGCCCTATTTTTCCCAGCCCCAGCCCTGGCTATATCTCTGACTGTTTTCCCGACTTCACTCACAGCTTCAATTCCAGCTTCAACCCCAGTCCCATTTTCTTGGATCTGACCTTTCATGTCTGCAACTGTAACACTGTTGCTGCTGGTCCCAAATGTAACGCCATCTCCAGTATCGAACCCTATATCAAATCCAGCTTTGACACCAGTCCCAACTTGGGGCTCTACCTTGGCCCCCACAAAAGTGTCTCCAGGTCCAGTGTCAGCACTGCTAAACCTCCAGGGGAGCAGTTGATCTGCATGTCTGTGGTCATTATCATCATCATTGACAAGTTTGTGGGAGTCAGTTTTAATTTCTTCCTTATTCACAACCTTGGATAGAGGACTCATGTCTGCATGCGTTCCCATCCGACTTGTTTAGCTGCTCTACACTCTGCTGACTGTTTTATAGGAAAGCACAAAGCCCCCAGGAAAGAACAGGAAGACAGAAAATGAGCAAGCTGGTTTCCAAAATAAGAGTGAGAGTAAAGGCCACCTTAATAGCTACCCAAACAGCCATTACAAAAATATATCAAAAAGTTGAAAAAAAAAAAGTATCACAAGAATATATGCTGGAAAGGACTTTCCTTCACTATCCAAAAACCATCCAAAATCAT